GGTGCGTACATCGTTATGGACAACGCGAAGTACCACAAGGGACGCCCTCGAGGAACACCAAACAGTCGCCAGTGCAAGCGAACCCTCCAAGAAGCGTGCGTTGCCTACGGCATCCCCTTCGAGGAAAAAGGAATTCAAGAGCGCCTTGTGGCAAAAGCTGTCGGAGTACATTCAACAAAAAGTCGAGCCCCAAATCAACCAAATGGCAGCGTTGAAGGGACACCGAGTTGTCTTTACCCCGCCCCATCACTCGGATTTGCAGCCAATCGAGTTGGTTATTGTGAAAGGCCAAGTCGGGCGGCGCTACGCTGATGGAACCGGCTTGTCTGAGGTCAAGGCGCGCCTTGAAGAAGCATTTGACGACCTGAAGCCCAGTTCTATTCAAGGCTGCATCAAAGCTTCCGAGGTAAAGCTGCAAAAGCTTTACGACCATCTTGTGGAAATTGATGCTTTTGAATCGGATGAGGATTCATCAGCACAAAGTAGTGGCGCCACTGATGATAGCGACTGTGAGTACTCTAGTTAACATGCTAAACCTTCATGCATATAAATACTCTTAAAATAAATTTGTACCTTGCAATAAAGTTTCGAAAGTATAGTTCTACTCGCTAATTGTATATCTCTCGAAGTCTATATGAATTTGTCGAAATCACTCGATGCTGTCGGGGACTGTGAGTTCCGACAATTTCTTGCCAATGCAATAGAAGGTGTCGGGCGAATCCGAGCGGGCCATTCGGTACGCCAGACTTTCGTCATCAGCAGTAAGCCAGAGTCCCTTTGTCCCTTTGATGTTGGCGACGATGTGCCGCATGCAAAAACTATGCGAACTTTGCGGAAAGACAGTGTTGCAAGCGTTTATGAGCCCTATACGTTTGACTGAGAAAAAATGTGTGTATTATTTCATCCTTTTTATCTGTCAGATAAAAGAGCGGGATGGCTGTCCAAAGCGCCAGCGTCTTTTAAATGATTCAGGAAGCACGTCCAGTTTGACCCGTCTTCAGGTGGGACAATGGCGATAACTATATGTCAGATTGTGCAAGTCATGAATACTAGTCAGGTGATCAATTCTACTATTACCAAGGATTAAGGGTTTATTGTTTGGATCCTTTGTCGTAGCGAGTAGCAGCATGCCGTTCGTGTTCACGACGTCCTTAAGGTATGTGCCTGTTGTAGAGTTGGTTTCAGATGACTATACGAGTATATTTTACCATCAAGCGCGATTGCGTCTTGACACAATTTTGCCTCACGAATGCAAAATTGGGGAATCAATATGCTGCGGTAGAAATGGCTTCCTTTCTTGTCGATTTTTGCATGCGTACCAGGATTGTGTTGAACAATCTTGGCGAAGTAATCGCCAAGCTTTTCAAACGATACATTTACATCGCCATAAAGCAGCCGGACCAGCGTCTGCCCTGCTGGCCGCCGAGGTCGAAATGTCTTGACCGTGTTTGGCCTTAACAGTCAGAACACCCTGTTCTGTCATGAACATCACCACTGCCCTGAAGCCTCAGGTAGCAGCATTGGCTGCAGCTAGTAGGAGGTTTTTGTGCCTTTTAGAGGCTTTTCCTCAGATAGTAGATAGCCAGCCATATCCACGGTACATCATTAGGATGCCGTGTCCTGATTAGCTAGCCATTAGCTAGTCCATCGAGCCTTTAGAGCCAGTTGTTCTCACTGGTAGCTAAGCTAACTCACTTTCCGTTTCACCCGCAACCACCCAGTGTTCCCCCTGGTTTTTGCACCTTACCACTGGTTATGAGCTCCACCGCACCTCTGCTGCGGCAACCCGCCCAACCCTCTCTGTCGTCCACCACCTGCGTGGACTCGACAACTTTGACGAGTAGCACTTTGAGTTGACCACGATCGTCCTCCAAGGAGAAGGCATGACCACTCAGGTGACGCAATACACTGGCGTCGAAGCCAAGTGGTCCATCAAGGGCCTGACACGTGCATTTCGTGTCCTCGATGGCGACACCAAGAAATTGCGTCGGCACATCGACGACGCAGTCCTTCGACCGTCATCGGAGCCACCAGTCCTTGTTGACGTAGCGCCCAAGCTCATCGATCCTATCATGGAATACCTGGCCGAACATCGTTCAGCCAAGTTCCTCGAAGCTCGCGCGGCCAAAGCCGCGCTAGAGCACCTCCTGAAATTTGAACACGCGGATGTTGAACGATCCATCGCGTTGGTCTTCGCGTCGCTGTCGGAGGTAGTGCGCGGCCGCAAACCTTCGTCAATGCGTCCACTGCATCATCGAGTGGCTCCGCGGCAAGTTCTGCAGCGAAGAGAAGAAGTTTGCGTCCGCCGTGGACGTCTACACCAAGTTCCACGGCATCAAGTTCGAGCGATATTGCTCGCTTGACGGCAGCCTGGCCACTTTCGACAAGCTTCGAAAGGACGTCGAAAAACGCGAGAGCACGACTCTCAGCGACAGCCACCTCGCATCGGTGTTGCTGTCCGCGCTGCCTGATTGCATTGCACACGATGTGCAAGTATGGCGCGGTGCTCGACCGAGCATCCCATACACCCAGCTGCGGGAACTCTTGCCGCAGCACTGGCACGAGTTGACCGAGAAATACCCTGATTTCTTGGGTCCCAAACCGACGGCTCATGCCGTTCCGGTTCATGGTTCGGGACAAACGCCCGAAACCACTCGATCGAGCGCTTTACGCCTCTCGAGCTATGATGGCTACGGTCAAACGACCGGCCTCAGTCCATGGCGCTCGCAGCGCGACATGCCTCGCGAAGATCACGGCTATTGTGACTACTGCGCACATGCAGGTCACCGCACGATAGATTGCACGAAGCTTCTCGTGCATTCCACCAAAACGCGGTGCGACGCAATTTTGTCTTTCCACCCGGATGAGTGGCGACCCCACCAGGGCAACTCCCACCGCACGGGGGTGGTCGACGAAACCAACACGGCCAGGGTAGTGGGCATTCCCAAGACCCACCAATCGCCCACGCGGCGGTCGTGGCGGTCGATCCGCCCATCACCAAGTTGATGTTGGTGCGTTTCTCAACGCACTCCAACAAGGCCTACAAGTGATCGAAATAAAGATATGACACCCATTGGTTTCTGCAATTTCTTCGCTTCCATTGGCCGAAACGGCCTCCAAACTTGGCCAATCAAAAGGCAACATGGTTGCAACCCAGCGGTCATTGCGATTTGACAATCCGAGGTCTGTCACTCGAGCAATTGGCGGGAGATCAAAAACCCGCGAGAAATATTGATATGACCGTCTGATACATTTCGCATTTTCACCCGCAACAAGCACTTGATTGTAAGGCAAATGGCATCGATAGTGTACTCACACATCACACTCACGCAGATATACTCCTTAGACGCCATAGCCATGCCCAGAGGAGACCTTCTCTCGGACGACGAGAAGTTGGAGGTCCTGGTCCTCCAACGCGAAGGCCACAAGGCGCGCTACATCGCCAACGAGCTCGACCGCTCGCGTGGATGTATCCAAGGGTTCCTTCGCAGTCCGTCGACGTACGGCATCGCTCGGTCGCCAGGAAGACCTTCCACCGTCAGCCCGACCCTGCACCGCCGACTAATCCGAGCTGCCCGTACAGGCAAGTACACGGCTTCCGAGCTCGTGGAGCGGCATTCGCTTCATGTAGGCGAACGTCGTGTGTGCCAAATACTCAACAAGTGCGGGAAGCTCAAGTACAAGAAGCGACTTGCCGCGCCAATGATGACACCGGCACACCAAAACGCCCGTGTCAAGTGGGCCAAGGATGCGCGGGAATGGGGCCGCAAGTTCGAAGACATCTTCTGGTCCGACGAAAAGAAGTGGAACCTGGACGAGCCAGACGGGTTTAGCTTCTACTGGGTTGACCTGACTGGCCACCGCGAACACTTTTCGAAGCGCCAATATGGGGGTGGCGGCGTCATGGTTTGGGGGGGTTTAGCAGCCGCGGCAAGGCAGAGCTGGCCTTTCTGGAGGGCAAGCAGAACAAGGAATCATACATTGGTACGATTTCCGACTTCATGCTGCCCTACGCCCACTGGAAGCATCAAAATGTCTACCAGTTTCAACAAAACAATGCGTCTATCCACACGGCGGGCGCCGTTTTGGAGTAGTTCAAGGAGCCCGAAGTTGCCGTGGATGTCATTCAGTGGCCGGCCAAGGCACCTGACTTGAATCCAATCGAAAACCTGTGGGGAATCATGTCCCGGAAGGTTTACGACAACGGCCGGCGTCAGTTTTCGAAGAAGGCCGACCTCATCGCCTGTGTGCGCCAAGTTTGGGATGAGATCGACATCTCGTGGCTGGGATGCCAAAGCGATGCGACTTAGTTGTTGCGAGCAAAGGTCGCAAAATTAAGTACTAAAGACTCGATTTGCTGAATGTGTCATATCATTATTTCTTCGTCAATTTTTGTGTCTTGGGTTGTGGATGCACAGAAAGCCGTTATAACTGCCCCAGTAGGACAACGAATACGCTCATTACAGGTGTCTATTGCTATTGAAGTAGTTCCTCAATCGTCGAACGTCGTTACTGGACTTCTTCATTAGAAAATCCTGGCGGTCATATCTTTATTTCGATCACTGTAGCCCATGGCGGCCGCTCCCAACGTGGTTACGATCACGGCGGTTATTCCAACCGCGGCTACGACCAAGGCGGCCTACAAAGAGTCGCGTCTTCGGACCGACGCGATCAACGTGACCAAAGTCCGTTTCGCCACCACCGCGATCGCAACCACTCGCGCGATCGGCCCGATGATTTCTTCAATTATGATTATCATTGTTTGGCTCCTCCAGAGCTGTACCCCGTCCAAGATGACCGGCGAAGCCGCAGTCGCGACACCCACCACCAAGGTGCCCCCGGAGAAAATATCGGAGGAAACGACCATCGTAGTCGTAGGCGTAGCGTAAATCGCAGCGACGCTTCTCGTCAACATGACCAGACTCGTTATTTCAGTCTTCATGCACGTTTGCCAAAAATTACGACATCTCGTGACAACAAATCGGCATCAATGCCTCGATTATCTACACCTAGATAAAATGAACTTCAATCGGCATCATTGCCTAGATTAAATGAGATTCAATCAGCATCATTGCCTAGATTAACGACACCTCTTGAACAACAAAAACATGTCTCGTTTTCGGTACTACAACAGTCCACCAACACTTCAAGTATAATTCCAAAAATACTTTCGAAAATACTAAAAGACTTTCGTCCACATTTTGACTCGCTTGATACATCTATATCGTGGTCACTATTATACACTGGCTGGGCACTTCGTGTGTCACCGACTAGTCCTATAATTCAACAACAACTAGACTCATGTCTTCTTGGCTTTCGGCCTTAGGACCTTCGTCAAGGTAGCAAATATAACACTGATATTAGTGAGGTGAAACACGCCACGAGGCGACTATTCACTAAAGTACTCCGTACCTCCACTAAGGCATCCGAACCTTTGACACTGCCACACAGAGTGTGTGTGTGTTTGCAATGGGTCAAACTAACGCGCGACCCAATTTCTCTGCACGCTTCAGAACACTTCCCCTC